CCCGCCACAAAAGCGGCCGCCCCGCCCAGGTAGGAGAAGAGCGAGGCCACGGCGGTGGCGGTGGCCCTCTGGTCCGGGGCGAACCACGTGGTGGACAGGAAGGGGCCGGCGCTCATGATGGTGGGACCGGCTAAACCGTTGAGGAGCTGACCCCCGTGGATTAACCTGCAGCACCAAGCAAAACTTCAAAATGAGGCCTAATGTACCTTTTGTGAACACATACAGCGTTTTAATATACGTCGAGTACGGCGAGGGTAGTTTGATCCTTGGTGGAGCAAATGACATTGACGTTATTACTTTGGATGGATGAGATGTCAAGCCAGGGCACCGGTGCGCCTAATGAAGTGACCCGTGGGTGCGTATGAAGTTATAATGTGTCGAGCGGGAATCTGTCTGCATCAAGGTCCGTTCTAGGCCACCAAACAAAAGAGGTTTCCGGTGGGAAGGCCACCGAGTAGCAACGGATGTTCACCTTGGCTTTTTGTCTCTGTTACAGTGACATCTAGTGGTGAAAGGGGGTATGGTTCGGGTTGACTTGACTTGTGGGTGAACAGTGTCACAGCAGCTCTTTGTTTTTTGCTCTTTGGACAGCATAAATACCAAAATCTTAAGTATCAGCTTCTCAGCTCTGCATTCTTCTAATCTACTCAATTATTGATGACAAATGCCACAGTACACGGCGGCAATCAATTGAGCTTCCGAGTAGGCGATGACCACAAGTGATTTGAAAGCATATCGATGAACACGGCAAAACCGAGAGCGCCGCCGTTAAATTCAGAGCCAGCTTGGCAGCAGCGGAAGGAAGTCTGTGAAGGCATCTCGCCAATGGCGTCACGGGACAACAAATCGAGGAGGAGGGAAGGAGGCAGGGAGGGAGGAGAAGATGAAGAAGATCAAGAAGAAGGAGGAGGAGGAGGACCAAGAGGAGGAGGAGAAGCAGAGGAAGAGGAGGCGTCTTACCAGCGTCGGAGAGCCGGGTCCGACAGCGGGATGCTGCGTAGCACCGCCCCCAGCAGCATTAAGAAGGCCGACAGCAGGAGGGACGACCGAAGACCTGCAGGATGCGAGACAAGATGTCAGCTAGAGGACAAGAATGCGCGGATCAACCTCCTTGTCTCGTCCCGCGTCTTTCTCTCTCTCAGGCCGACAGCAGGAGGGACGACCGAAGACCTGCAGAATGCCAGACAAGACGTCAGCTAGAGGACAAGAGTGCGCGGACCGACCTCCTTGTCTCGTCCGCGTCTTTCTCTGTCTTGTTCTGTCTCAGATCTCCGTTCGTATTAAGAACGATCGAAAGGGCTCGGTGGCCGCATTACTCACATGCATTACACTGACACCAAAAATCCTGTCAGCAATAACCGCAAACCACGCGAGTGCTGCCCAACTTCCTAATTTTGCGTCTTTCTTCGCTCAGATGTGGAAGTGATCTTTTCAGCACACATTTGGGGAAACTCTCATTTCCCTCGAAAAAGAAGTCTTGAGGAAAATTCATTTCATTTCCTTTTGGTAGAAATGTCTATTCCAACTTGACCCACAAAAAAGTCTCCAGAAGCCAGTTTTAATTCGCAACGTGAAATTTGTTAGACCTGTCAATCATGGGAAACCTTACACAAAAAAGTCTCAAGAAGCGATGCCATTTTGGTTTGAACAGAAGCGTCTATTTTGGCCATTTTAGGGGTCTTTCAAACGTTTGGACTTGTAATGAGTAGACCGACAAAAAAAGTCTCAAGAGGCCAGATCTGAAAAGACACAAAAAGTCGACCATTTTGTTTTCAAGTGGCCATTTGAGAGTCATTTGGGCCATTACCAGGGGTTCTTCATTTCTTTTTTTTTTTTCTTTCATTCAGCCCTTCAAAGCTGTTTCACATAACAACATGAAATTTGGCAGGCATGTTTATCGTGAGGAGACCCACAAAAAAGTCTTCGGAAGCCATGCATGAAAACACATAGGAAGTCTGCCATTTTGGTTTGAAGAGACAATTGTAAGGTCAGTTTGGCTATTTGCCAGGGCTTCTTTCATCCAAAAATCCCACTTTTTCTTTTTTGTCTGATTGCTAACAAATTCGAACCGCAAATACTCGACAAATGCATTTGGGGCAGAGCTTGGCAACAAATTTTGATGACCGCTGTGAGCCCAAGACTCAAAGACCAAGGTCAGAGCGACCTCAAAGGCAGACAGAATGCCTTTGCTTTTTTTGTTTTCTTGGCCAGTTGAATGGGAATGGCTCAAACAGACCCTCGAGAGTGAGTTGAACTGGACAAGCTTGAAAAGACCCTCCAGACATGAGTGCCACAAAGGAGTGCTCCTTAATAGCATTCCGACGACGCACTCGCATAGTGTGTTGGAAGGTCAACGTAGGACAGGGGGAGCAAGCATTAAAGTATATGTCGCTGAAACATGGGGATGAAACGCTTTGTGGCTTAAAAATAAATCGACATAACTATTTTTTTAAATGTTCTTTTATTTCATGTCTAATATTTCTGTTTCATTTTCAAAGATTTTTTACTCTAATACAGTAGGTCTGTATTTTTTGTTTCTGTTTGTATACAGGGATGAAACGCTTTGTGGCTTAAAAATAAATCGACAACGTTATTATTTAAATTTTCTTTTATTTCATGTCTCTCTAATATTACGATATTTTACTCTAATACTGTAGGTCTGTATTTTATCTGTTTGTATATTCCAAATGTATTATTCTCATAATATTTTTGTATTTTTCAACGTTTTTTTTATTTATTTACAAATGTTTTCTTCTATTTTGTCGAATATTTGTGTCTTTTTGAATCAAATGCTTTAGCAATTTATGTACATGTGTGCATTTTTCATTGAATAGTCAAACATGTTTCGATTGTTTTTTTGTACTATGATTGAACTACTTGTAAATATTTGTGTCTAATCTCTCTGTATTTATCATCTAGTTTGATGAGTTATTTTATATTTGTGTTATATACAAGTATATTCTCCCCCATTCCCCATCTAATTCTGTTTCGTTCCAATTCTACTTAAACATATATCCACACCATTCTTCTCAGAAACAGCATTGCATCAGAGTGACTCATTATGCGTGTGTGAGCTTGTATGTGTCGGCGTGCGTGTGTCACACGCAGCCAACAATTAACAACTGTCTGGAGTTGAACATGGGTCACAACACCACTAACCCAATTTAACACGCGGCCCGATGGCCAAGTCCACTCGCAGTAAAGTCGAGTGTCGACTATGCTGGATTTGACAAACTTGTCAGGTGGCTTCTCATTTGACTTGTGTGAACTGACTCCATGGTCACATGAAGACGAGTTACGTAAGTCTGCAAATCAGTCACTCGGGAGTCCGACCGACTCTGGATGACGTGCTGACGACTTGTCAGGTGGCTTCTCATTTGACTTGTGTGAACCGACTCCATGGTCACATGAAGACAAGTTACGTAAGTCTGGAAATCAGTCACTCGGGAGTCCGACTCTGGATGACGCGCTGACAAGTACAAAAATGTTTCACTACCTTTTAATATGGTCAAATCTTGTGACACGTGACGTGTCAATACATGATACTACTGACTAGTAATGGAAATGTAAGTCATTGGATTAAGTGATTAAAGATGATGTTACCCTAATTAAATACAGTACATTGGCATTAAATTCACAAGAATTACCTAATGGAACGTGTCGGTTCTTCAATAAGAAGGGAAAGTATTGTGATTGACTCGATACTGAAATCGTAATACTACACCCATGGTGTTGGTATTGTCATCAGTAAGGCGCTAGTTTAGCGCACAATAATGACATCGATATATTCAATACTATTCTCTAATTTACTTGTTATCATATGTACAACGAAATGAGTGGAATTGCGATGCTAAAATGGGTTCCCGAGAAAAACATCAAAATGTACCGTAAGAGACAGTATCGACGATACATTGTCTTTATCACTTGGTATCGAACCCTGATGGAAATGCGTGGTGCTGCGCTCTTGGAATTGTCACTAGCTCCGATACCAACCGCTTACTTTTTATCTTAGTTTTAAGAAATCGTGCGGCTATCACCTGTCACAGGCATAGAATTCTGTCAGATGTAGTTTGGTACTTTTGCGATAACAGTGTGTATTTTACTTGGTAACTTATGAAGGGGACATCCAGTACTGCCCCCAAACAAGTGCAACACCAAATTGAACGACTTTGAGACTACATTATTACAAGTATAGGTGTCGATAAGGGTCAGGGTCATGAAAATACCAGCCTTTGGTTTACTTACGAAGGAAATGGAATATGTGGTATCTACTTTGCTAATAAATACTCCCTTCCTCTGTAAATGCCGAACCAAATCAATACATCACATGACAATCAAGATCTAATGGCGTTCAGCGAAAGATTGACAGTCTGAGCTCACCTCTTTTATCCATCAGCCACATGAACAGCAGCCACGGGACGAAGCCCACCGGACCCCACAGAACCAGCACGGCGATGTCGGACTTGGTGAAGCCAAATGCGTGGGCGGCGGAGTTCTGGATGGGCCCCCAAAAGTTCCACACCACTCCCTGCATGAGGGCCAGCAGGGAGAATAGGCTGAGCACCAGCCATCTTCGGCCGTACACTCGGCTGCTGACTGGCAGCGGACCTCTCGCCGCTGCGTGGGGCGACGCAAGAAGCGGCTCCCTCTCAGCCTCGGTGCTCGAAGTGGCACCCATAGTGGATCACCGTGAGCTCGATTCCGATTCAATTCTGCCTTGTTTGTTCGTCTTTCGGCGGTAGAGAACGTCGAGTACCCTCCGTGACAGTCGCTAGCACAAACAAAAACAGACGATGGTTGCGGAACGTGATTGCGCATGCGCAGGCGATCTGGTTTCCGCTATGGAAGCTGTGGCTCTTGAGCTGCCATTTTAGCTCGCCTGTAAGGCTTTGAGTGCGGCGGTGTCGCTCCCTGGGCGGCGCCAAAATGGAGTAGTTTCACAGACACCGCGCTGACGGGTGAATTGAAACCGAAAACGTCACTGTCATGTGAGCTTTGTTTACTTCCGCCCACAGCTTCACTGCACGTGTTGAGAACGGTGTGTTCCCTATTTTATTCCAAGAGTTTGCTTTCCTCGAGCTGCTTAGCTATCTTACAGATACGGAGGTGATTTGGTGACTTTTAAAGTTAAGCATAAACTTGTTCTAGATGATTTTGACGCGATCGAGCATTTCATTAGTTAGACTGATAACTTGAACAACTGCGATTATTTCAATACCTTTTAGTTCAGGGGTCAATAATGTGGTGAGGACCTCCTGAATACCCCACGCACCTGTTCTCAAAAAAACTCATCCATGATGGGACATTGTGATTTCCTAGTAATGTTGTACAAATGATCATGATCAAAATGTAAGCGCTTGCAGAGATTTCTATAAATAGTTTTAGACTGACATTTTAGTGTTTTCCTACCTTGTAAAATCATTAACTTGATCAGTGTCTTCACATCCGACATACGTAATTGGGTCAAATTTCTTATTTCAGAAGTATATGTCAGACTGGTACCCTTTCGCATTAACCAGATGTAGCTTACACTTTCAAAAAAAGGTTGGTGACCCCTGCTCGAGTACATAGTTTGTGATTATTACTAAATCTGTATGTTGCAGGCCATGGACACCGGCGCCACCCACGTCCCACCCTTCAGTCCAGAAGAGGCCCAGAGGATTGTGGGTCAGCTTCAGCAGCCCGCCGTCTTCCTGAACATGACGCACGGCTGGCCCGTCCTCGGCTGGACCGCAGAGAACCTTCGCGAGCGCCTCGAGGACAGAACCATCCGATTCCGACTCGGCAGGAAGGAGGAGACGAACGGTAAGAAGAAAGATTGGATGGGCGGAACGAATAGTCATCGTGCATTCATGACACCTGCCACCTTGCACAATGGAAATAAACATGAATGGCTTTGGTGCGTTTGTTTGCTCAGTGCCTCAGTTTGAAACTCAGTGCGCCTATGTGGAAGCAAGCATGGGTCAGTTCCTCAGCTGGCTGAAAGATGAGGCGAGGGAGGATGTGGGCTCTTTCTATGACTACCCACGGTCTCAGTTCTGGGCCTACGCTGACTACAAGTACATCGCCAGGATGTTTGCACACCAGCCCGACATGTTTGAGGTATACAGTTATGTTATTCACTGAATTTTGGTTACCTATGCCAAGGCTGAAAGTGGTTGAAAGCCGCGGTTGTGACGGGGGGAGAGAATAAGGCCACAAAAACCTTCCCTCTTCTATATAGATGTGCAACAATAGTGAATTAAATACATTTGAAATGAATCCCTGAAGACCAAAACTCAGGAGAGTTTCACCATAATTATTATAAAGACATCATCTTGGCTGCTCTGACGGGCCTTCGCGGTTATGGGTGTGTGCAGGCAGACATAATGCAGGAACTCCTTGCACACGAAAAGACAAAGTCAAAACATATGAATCGCAATGAGAATGGGACGCAAAATATAAATACAGTTCAATATTTATATACAGTCTAGTCATTATTAAATAGCTCCAGGTGTCAACAGGATGTCTGCGAAATGACACCAAATAATCCTACTTTTTTTGGGGGGGGGTTTTCCAATTAAAACGCACAGCTTCTTCTTGCAGATAAAGACATTAAAGAGTGGTCGCACGGCAACATTTTATGGGGCAGATTAATTTTTATAGCGTCGGGCGAGTAAATGACATCATGTTGAAATGTGCCTTCGGGCGACATTGACCAGTCTGCCGTTTACTGAGAATTGCTACTGTGTGTCCTAATGGATTCATCGTCCATATGTGTGTGTGTGTGTGTGTGTGTGTGTGTGTGTGTGTGTGTGTGTGTGTGTGTGTGTGTGTCAGGATGTAAAGTGGGATGCGTTCGGGTTCGAGGGTCGTAACGGAAAAGAGAGCACGCTATGGATGGGCACGGAGGGCGCCAACACGCCGTGCCACCTGGACTCTTATGGCTGCAACCTGGTGCTGCAGGTACAAGGACGGTAAGACTGCATCACAAATATCTGACCCCCGCTTCAGTTGAGTGACTCTAAGCACATTCAAACAAATGCCGAAGCGTTTCTACCAACGTTCCGACTTGCACTAAGTATCGGCGCATGCCTGTTCTAGTCTTTGTGAACACTGATGGACAGGTTACTTTTAAAATGCTCCTTTTCTGAATGGAGGTTACAAACACTAAAGATCAAGGTTGCAAGATTATGGCCAAAATAACCATGGATATTATTTTCTTTTTTTTAATCAATATTGTAATCAGGATTATTATTCAGTTATTCATGTTAGAAAAAAACGTGTTTTTGAATATCACTACTTTTTTAACAAACAATACAGAATGAGTTCTGAGTGCAAAATGAAACTTTAAAATTAATGGTTTATCATTTTAAAAAAAAAAAGATAATTTCAAAAAATACACAAAAATGTCAAATTAACCAAAGACTAGCTGAATAAATATGCCAGTATCTCGTTATTTTGGCAGTTTAGGGGAGCCTTAACCATGTGTTCGCCCCCTAGTGGTTGGCTGACGAATGGTTGAGAAAGTGTTTGATTAAATATGCAAAAAAAAACACAGCCATACCGTTTGCTCACTTGTTTTCTTTGTGTCTGCGTACAGGAAGCGCTGGCACATGTTCCCTCCGGAAGACACGTCCAAACTGTACCCGAGCAGGATCCCGTACGAGGAGTCCAGCGTCTTCAGCCGCGTCAACATCCTGCGTCCGGACCTCGGCAGGTTTCCCGCTTTCCAGCACGCCGGCGCGCACGTCGTCACCCTGTTGCCCGGACAGGTCGCTCGACCTAAATATATAAATATACACGCCACATGCACACCCATCAAATGTACACATACGCTGTGTGACGTCTGTACTGTGTGTTTGTCCCTGCACACCAGAGTGAAGTTGTGACTGTGTCGTGTTTAGATTGCCCTTCTGTTAAAGCAGCCACCTTGTCAGGGTTAAAAAAAAAAAAAAAAAACTGGGTAGGGTCAAGTTGAGGCCCTGTCAATCAAGTGACTCGTCATCACCCCTCGTAACTCCCTCTGTGACAAAACGAGGCCACGAGTGGATGGGGATAGAAAATCAAAACCTGTCATCAGCAGACATATTGAGCCGCTGGTCCAATGCTGCCATCCTGTGGCTGAAAGAGGAAGTGTAGTCAATTCTATGATAAGCCGCATTTTATGTGGTCAGGTTCTCTTCGTGCCCAGACACTGGTGGCACTACGTGGAGTCCCTGGACGCCGTCACCATCAGCGTCAACTCCTGGATCGAGCTGGTGAGCCTAGCGAAATTGTAGCATGTGTTATTTGATCGATGATTGACTGGTCGGTGAATCGATTCCCGCGTAGGATGACGACCATGTGGCGCGCGTGGGCGAGGCCGTGACCAGGACGGTTGTGTGCGCCGTAAAGAGCGCACAAGGCGACGGCGAGTGCTGGCTCAACCCCACAGAGGTTCGTGTGCCAAGTGATCAATTCATCAAATTCAAACTGACGTCGCAACGTTGACCCACAAGAAAGGGCTCAAGAAGCCATCAAAGTTATACTAAATGAAAAAAAAACAAACGCAAACATTCGATTGGGGATCAACGACATCATCGTGTCCACAGGAGGGCGTGACATCCCATAATGACAACATGCGCTACATCAACTTGGCTTTGCGGGCCTGTGCTCAGCAAGAGAAGACCAAACCCACCTTGAGATCCAACAACCCCACAAAGCGCGATTCTGACGGACGCATTCGAAGCGACGTCCGCTTCGGGCCGTGTCTACTTCCTGTTCCCCGCCTTCCCCCACCTCTCCAAGATGGCGGAGACGACGACATGGGTCCCGATACGATTGAGGAGTCGCCCGTGGGCACCGATGACCTTCTGGAGTGTCTGTTGCATCCAGACGTGGTCGCCATGGTTACCCGGCTCCTGTTGGACAAGCAGAGGAGAACTCCCATCACTCCGAGATGAGACAATCTCTGAAGGGTTCGGACGAGCCGCTGTTACCTGTATGTCACTGGGGCGGCCGAAAAGTGAAAGATGGCTTGGAAGTCAATTACTCGCCGCCAATAATACAATCAGGAACGTGTTTGTCCCCCCCTGGGGTGGGGTGACATCCTTCATGGTAATCGCATTTCATGCATGTAAACATGTTTGCTGCCTAGCAAAATGACAAACACGGCAGACAGCTGTGATCATGGAGGCACGAGGCGTCGAGGGTTCAGTGAGCCCCAGCTTTGCTCTCCTTCTCTTGACTTTTTACAGTTGTTCAAATCACTCTGTCGCGATTGTTTCTTTAAAAAAAAAAAAAAAAATTGAAATAAAATGACCAGTTTTTTTTTTTCTCAAATAAGTCAAACATCTGAGAATGGAGTTGTATTTTTTCAAGGAAAAAAATGTGAAATCAAATTATCTCAAGAAAAAGCTTTTTTTTTTTCCATGATAAATTTAGATTTTTTTCCATAAGTTTTTTAATTTTTTTTTTTTAAGGAAAGTTACAATTATGTGGATAAAGTCACATTTTCAAGAGAACAAAAAACATTTTAAAAAATGTTCAACAAAAAGCCCCCAAATTGATCGACAAATGTGCATCGTCTGATTTGAAGGGGTAAATTGCTAATTGTTGACAATTGTATCGTTTCCCCGAAAACAAAATAGAAAGTGTTGACTCGAGTTGGAACGACCAAAGTGCGGGAGTCACCACAAAATATTTATTCCACAAAAACGCGAACAAGGCACGTGGACTCAAAGCTACCAAATTAATTCAAGTCCAAAGAACAAGATTCAAAATAATAAACAAAACATGAGGATTCAACTGACCGTGACATGACTTGAGAATGCAGTTACTGACAACAACAGCCGGCAAACGATCTATACCCACAAAGACAGAAAGAAACTGCAAACTCACAATGAGGAATATGTGGCACAGACACGAGCTGATTGGTCGACACGATGAACTGGCTTGACGAGAACAGGTGAGCACAAAAACCTAAAGAGTGAGACAGAAACATGAAACGCGAGAAAACGGAACATAGGTCGTGACAAGATTTTGTTGTGCTTTTTCGCAAACTTTATAAAGTGATGAGAATGGATTCAGATTTTTAAAACAGTTGAAAAGTTGTGATCATAAATTTATATTTCTCTGTGGAAAAAAAATAGTGATATACATTCATTTTTGCTCAATTAAAAAAAAATGTAAACCCATCAAAATTCTCTTTGTCCGAGAAAAAAAGTGGCAAACTGAATGGGAATTTTTGGAAGAAAAAAAAAAATCATAAATTCAAGTGGATGAAGTAAAACAATGATAAACTGTTCAAAACAATTGTAAACTGATGATTTTATTTTTTTTCTAGATAACCCCCCTCCACCCCATAAATTTGATAAACGGTCATATTTTTTCTGGAAAAAAAGTATGCAAAAATCTGAGATTTTTTTTTCTCAGATGAGAGCATTGTGCTACACACAAAACCTTGGAAAAAAATGACAAAAAAAAAAAATTCAGAGAAAAGAAGTACAGGCAACGTTAAAAATTTGAAATGTGCGTAAAATCTACAGTTAGCCTTTGATGCTAACAATTCACATCAAGGGAATAACGACATGAAAAAAATGATCGCATTTCATTGTTGGCGCTTCCTTTTCAGTTTTTCCCGAATACGGAAGGCGTTTGCGTTTAAAGTCTGGTGCTGGGCTCCAAGCCTCGCTTTTTCTTATCCAGCGTGTCGGCGCATCCGTTGTGGTCGTCGTCGTCGTCGCTGCTGCTGCGTTGGCCGCCGCTGTGATCGTTGGCGTCCATCTTGTCCAGGTGCTGAGCGTCCACGTACGTGTAGAAGTGAGCCATGACCGAGAACACGCCGCACACGGCCAGCAGCAGAACCGCAAACAGCACAAACTCTTTCCACTGCAGATTTTTTTTTTTGGGGGGGGGGAAAAAAAAAAAAGCATGACGTCCATCTATCTCGCTTTTCAATCTTCCTTCAAAATCAAAGTTCCCATATCCCATTTGAGATGGGCTCTCACCGTTTTTTTTTTTTTTTTTTTTTTGGTTGAAAATCTTAAATGTAAATGTAAATATAGTCAAGAGTATTTTGAGAATAAAGTCCTATTTAGGAAGCCGTTGTCATATTACATGACTGAAGTTACACTGAGCCAAAAGACGATTCACTTATTCGCAGTCCTCCAAAGAAAAGGCACAGCGTGCTTGCTTCATGCCATTTATTTTTTTGTTTGTTTTTGGTCACTCACCGTTTATGTTCACTTTACATTTACTATAAAACTGACACACATTAAAGGACAAACGCCAAAATGTGCCATCAAACCAGACCACCTCGTCAAAAAATATGTACACTAGCTTGCTACTAACATATAGCGCAAAAAGCCATAGATGTGCTAACGAAAATTGGCATAAATGTTCTTAAAAGTCAAGACTACCTGCTCAAGCCCTGCGCCCTCCGCTATGATCAAGACGATGACGTTCCCAAAGGCGACGGTGAGCAGCCACCCGGCCTGCAGGACCGACTTCATGTTGGCGGGGGCCTGCGGGGACAATCGTTCTCAGCTACTATTTGAGGACCGCTTGCTAGTCCGAGTGAAGACCTGGACGGGAAGCCAAACCTGCGAGTAGGAGAACTCCAGGCCCGTGATGGAGAACATGACTTCGCCTGCCGTGATGAGGACGTACTGAGGGATCTGCCAGGCCACGTGTACGTTGTTGGCATGGACGTCCTCCATCTTGTGTGTCGTAATTCTACCGGACTCCTGTGAAGCCGCAGAAAAGAAAAAAATTGAATATGCGGAGAGTGGGATGAGGGCGGCTTCCTGTCCAAGAGCGACACGCTGCCACCATCTTGTGTGTCGTAATTCTACCGGACTCCTGTGAAGCCGCAGAAAAGAAAAAATTGAATATCCGGAGAGTGAGAGTCCAAGAGCGACAAGCTGTCCGGCTGACCTCAAGGAGGACCACGGTGTAGGAGGCTCCAAAGTCCAGGAGTCCGAGGTCCAGGTCTGGGCAAGTCTTTGATTGTAAACTGCAGCTCACCTTATTATACCTGACACAACAGACAAGTTGGACAAAAAAATCTAGCATATCTGGATCAAATTTGGCAGGAGTTGGACAAAGTCTCGTGGACTCTAGACGCCCCACCAAATTTCCTTTTGCCAAGGGAAACTAGCTTTACGGGCTGCTGCAGTCATTTGTGTGTGAAACAGGAAGTGATGTCACAGTCCACTCACACTCCCCGCTGGAGGGTCTTGTTGGCAGAGACGCTGTAATTGGCGTCGGCGTGGAAGGTCTCGTCGCCCACGGTGACGGTGACCGCCTCCGACAGCGTGTTGACGAACCTGCGCGAAGCCACGCTCGCTAAGTCTCGCGCGGAGATGACAGGCCATGCGTCGTGCTACACGATCATGGTCACGTTTTTACCTGAGAAGAGGAGCTCCTTCGTCATTTTTCTCGATGTAGTCGTTCACCTGGATTACACACCACAAGATTTATTTTTTTTCAGGGGTAATATCAAAAATGTTGGTCAGACTGTGCTTGAAAAAATATTTTCAAATAGTGTAATATTCAGAGGTTTATTGAATTGACACATTTTTTTCTTTTTCAATATTGACTAATTCTGGAAGATCCATATTTACTTCCTCGGAAATTTTTCACAGAAATATGACTTAGAAATGTGGGATTACGACTTTTTGGAAAAGGGAATTCATTCTTGCAATACTGTGACTCATCTCAGATGATGACTTTTCCGAAAGAAAAAAAACCCAACAATATTCTCGATTCTCGCAATTTTACGTATTTTCTAAATACTACTGCCCATCCATCCATCCATCCATCCATTTTCAGAACCGCTTATCGTCACTGAGGGTCGCGGGCTTGCTCGAGCCTATCCCAGCTATCTTCGAGCAATAGGCAGGGGACACCCTGAACTGGTTGCCAGCCAATCGCAATTGCATGTTTGTTTTTTTGTTTTTTTTCTCCTGGTTGTCCAATTCTTGCGTTTCGCGTTCACTCACCAGTCTGCAGCGTATTCCGGCTCGGGAGGGGTGCAGGATGAGACTGTACGCCTCCTGCTGGCCAAAGGTGACATTGCAGCGAGAGGCGGTCCCTTCGTAGTCGACCTCCAAGCTCACGTTGGTGCTGGGCGCCCCTAGTGGCAGCTTCAGGTACTCACCAGGATCCTGACACAAACAGGCAGTGCTCTTCTCATTCATTCTATTTATTTTATTTTATTTAGATTTTTAATTACGCTAAGTCCTGTTTTATCCGCGTCAGAAACTTCCGTTATAGTGGTTCCTTTATTATTGATTTAGAATGACTTTTTAGGTCAAAAGCCGCAAATGTATGTGTTTTTTTTTTTTTTTTTGTCCCGCCCCCAAGGCTACCTGTAGGTACATGAGCGGCTCTGGAAAAGGCTGGCTTTCGGGGAAGTGGAGACGGACGTCCCCCGGTGCCAAGTTGAAGACCTGAAGCAGACACTGGCCCGCCGGCGCTGGTTTCACCACCGTTTTCTACAACACGCAGCATACCCACAGTCACTCGTACTGCCAGCTTCAACGGTATCAGCAACGGGACCGTTTCTTTTACCAATTTACAATTTTGATTTACTGATAAGATAACATCAACATTTTTCCATCCCCCGATTGGTAGGTCAAAGTAACCTTTGCCGTTAACGCACCACCACGTGGACCTCCACCAGGGTGGCGGCACCAAACGCCAACGCCGCAAAAATCATCCCGGTGGCCATTTTCCTCAGCGGACTGAGGGGAGCGGAAAAAAAAAAACAACAAAAAAACAAAACGTGATTGTTTTCTATTAGCATTAAAAAAAAAAGTCATGATAGGAACTCACGTGATGTTGATCCTGCAGAGGCTAACCAGCGGGTATATGAACAGGTCGAACACGGGCACGAACACCAGAATTAACAGCGCATTCAGTGTCTAGAAGGGAAGGAGACACACAAAACATTCAGTAGCACACCAAAGACTTTTGAAAAATTCAACCCTCAAACATAGTTTCAATTAGCAACATGAAATTTGGTAGGACTGTACATGATGAACAGACCCCGCAAAAAAAAAAAAAAAAACAATGCCCGAAAACACACAGGTCGTCTGCCATTTTGATCAAAGAGAAGATTTTAGGCTCATTGGGCTCAGTTGGAACGCCCAAGATTTTTTTTTTTTTTTTAATTCAACCCCCTTTCATGACACGTGAAATTTGGTCGAGAAGTGCACCCACAAAAAAATGTCAAGAAGTCATGTCCAAAGAAACACCGGAAGCCAAACAGTTTTGGTTTAAATTGGCCACTTTAGCGCATTTGTATTTTGTATTTTTCAAATTCAGCCTTCAAAGCCAGTTTTCGGTGAGCAACATCAATTTTAGTCGACATTGTTTTATCATGAGTAGACGCACCAAAGTCTCAACAAGTCAAAAATTGTCCAAAAAATGCAAAAAAAAAGAAGCCTGTCATTTTTGGTATAAGGTGGCCATTTTTGGGGAAAATTCAGCCAAAGCTAGTTTCACTTAGCCACATAAAATATGGTCGACATGTCGATCATGAGTAGGCAACTTTCTCCCCCAGGAGGCGCGAGTGAGTCCATACCTGCATTTGATCAGGTTTGATGGAGAAGGCACCCTGTCACGGAGCACAAAAGAAACCAATAAAGGATTAAACTTTAACTCGAAAAAAATCTATCAGGAAGATAATCAAGCCAAGAATTGAGAAGTGGGTGATCCATTTCGGTCGTAAAAAAAGTTATAACAGACAATGATGACATGGAATAGAACCATAAAAAAAAAAGCAACAAACGTACGAAGGACATGTTCATCCTGGTGGCCTGCAAGGTCCAACGTGAACCCTGGAATCAAACAACGCATTGTTAGCATTGTTCGCCTCCTTCGCACTACCTTGACTCAACAACAAGTCGGCTTCTGGGACCTGTTGATCGAAGAGAGCCCAGAACATGGGCAGAGGGATGTAAAGAAGCAGGACCCGCAGAACCATTTTGATCTCCGTGATCAGACGCTTCTGTTGACACAATTAAAAAAAAAAAAAAAAAACATGTCAAATGCTGAAAGATTTTTTTTCATTAAAATGTGTGTCTTAAGAGCAGGCGCGCTCATACTTCTGTCACTTCTTAAAAATATTCCGATGCATTTGTAATCAAAGGTAAATATGGGGCGACTCGTAGTCTGATGTCATCACTTAACATTGGCCACAGCCACAAGGGAGCATATCTGCAAGTCATCTACCATGTTGTGATTTTTTTTTTTTTAACAAGTGAATTGCCTTTTATCGCACAAGCAACTTCAGCAGTTAGCACTAATGAGCCAAACGTCATACCGAGTACTTGTCCTCGGCCCAGTCCAGCCAGTGCCTCCTCTTGGACTCATACTTGGACCTCCTCCAACGGTTCTTGATGGCAAACTGCAAGTGTAGTTTAAAAAAAACAAACAAAAAAAAAAAAAACGTGAAAATCAATCACATTCTTGACATGGAATGGGGAAAAAAAAATCATGGAACAAAGTGTTTGATGACTCACGCCGATGCAGTTGCAGACCTCCAACAAGATGTTGCCCTGTGGAGGATTTCGCCGGTAGAGGCTGCTACCCAAGATGAACACCACTGTGCCAAAAAAAAAAAACCACATACACACATAGAAAAAGTTAAAAGTTGAAGCCATAATTGTGTTGCTGCTCCCAGCTGAGTTTACCGTCAAACAAAACACAAAACAAAAGACAGTATTCGGTGTATTTAAAACGGTCAGTTTAGCATGATGCTAACGCATCATGAGAATGGCCACACATGGGCTAACGGATAGCACGTGGCGGTTCTAATCCTCTTAAGCAGCAAATATTTGAAAAGCGATGGAGCAAAGCAATGTTCACGGACATATAATTCTTATCCACTGCGAAGAACAATTCATATTACCGCAACTGACTGAGCTTTGACCGAAACATTTTAAGAAGACCAGAGGATAAAATGTGTGCGGCCTTTAGGACCTGCATGCTATGAACAGCCACCAGGGGGCCCCGGCGTTTATTTGGGAGTTTTCGCGCTCAAGGTTTTTCCATTTGTGAACTGGTTTCCAAGACTTTGTCCCAATGCACTCTTGCGTGTTTTTAAGCGACGCTCCCGTTGTGGCCTTTTTTGTTTTGACTGCGAGTGGCCATCCGTGCAGAAGGTTGGCGATGTGCTACCGAAACCGCTGACGATCATCCACTCAGCCGGGAGAATATCAAAAACGTCATTTTAAGTGTACATATATCTAAACATTTTTATGCTTTTATTTTACATGGACAAAAATGATATCATTGAGTAGAAATAGATTGATGGAGCGCTTACTTACCCAAGGCCACCATCATGAGAGCAGCGGGCACGCCAAAAGCCAAAGCGTAGCAGTCGCCGCCAAAACACTGCACGTCTCCTCTTGGCCTGATGGCAAAAAAAAAAATAATAATAATAATAAAAATGGACAAAAGTTGTTGTGTGATGTGCTGTAGGAGGTGCCCCAAAAATACAATTTAAAAGAATTGGATTTTACAATACCAGAATTATTATTAAAAAAATAATTCTATGTTTGTGATGACTAAGTGGCTCCTTCTGTACAATTTGTCCACTCACGTGCTTCTCCTGGAACTGGTCACCCCCAAATGCGGCCACGCAGGGCTTGATCCCGCCTGTTCCGAAGGCAATCAGAATCAGACCCACCATAGACAGAGCGCTACAACGCACATACACGCACATACACGCACACGCACGGACAGGGACTGTCAATCAATATCGATCGAGCGGCTCAGTCCGATTAAACTATGGGCACCCGTACATGTGCACGGTGTTGCTTCCCACCGTAGGAATGGCACCGACCGACTTGATCACATGACCCAACACGTAGACCACGGACAGGTAGATGATGGTCCTGCACGGGGAAAGTGCGAGTGTGTTCAGATTGCTTCCACTGGTGACAAAAGGTGCAATAAAGGGAAGTCGAAGTGTACACGTCGGGACTGACTTAAACTTGCCGAGCCAGGTGTCGGCAATGATGGCACCCAGGACGGGCGTGAAGTAGCACAGGCTGCTGAAGGCGTGATACACGGCCGTGGAAAGGTCATGGTCCCAGCCCAGGTACGTCAGAAAGTACAACGTCAACACCGCTGAACACCACAAACACACAAAGTGAGAGACTGTGGAGCGCAACGCAGTAAAAGCATGACTGTGCCTGGGCAATAACTGAGGAATAAGAACTGAGGAGCGTTTATGGTGACTAAGATTCACGTTAGACGGTGTTGTTTCATTCAGGGCCACTCCCTAATCACTAAAAACAACCCTTAGGGCACAGTCAATTTCCTGGACTGTCATGTGATTCGCGCTCACTTTCTTGAGTCACGACCAAGACGTGCTCCTTGCAAGCAGCGCACGACTCGCTACTCCGGCAAAGCAAAGTATGGCCTGTGGAATCTATGCAAAAAAAAAAAAAAAACTGACTAGGCAGTGCAGCAACAGTGGGGATTGCGGAGCAGCAAAGTGGAGACTGCGGAGCAGCAGCATGTGAAAACTGCAGCGAAAATTAAGACGGTGGAATAAAATGCAAGAAAAATGGAGACTGTGGAGTGGAGACCAATGGTGACTATGATGTGGCAAACTGGAGAATGTGCAGTACAAAGCAGCAACATTCGAAAGTGTGGATGGAACACAACAGCTGCAAAATGGAGACTGGGGAGCAGCCAAATGATGACCGGAGTTAAAATGGTGCACTTTTTTGTATTTTTTTTGCTTCTGTATGAGTTACCTCTCATGCCATAGTAGGAAAAACGCTCGCAGAACTCGTTGACGACAATGAAGCAGATGCTGGCCGGGTAGTTTGTACCACATAGTTTCTAAAAGACAGAAAATGATATCCAACATGATTCTTTAAAACTACATCCTAGTTTCAAAAATATATATATACAGTATGCATTTTGTATCCACTTAGGAGAGAGTCCTGGTTTGTGCATAACAATCATCTCCTCACGACGCGGTTGGTTCGTTTGAAACGGAAGTGAAGTGAGGCGAAGCTGCATGAATTGGGGGTTGGGGTGCACTCAGAGCACCCGCGTGTTGCGTCATCTCAGTGCCCAACGTAATTTCTGCGATGACACGTAAACGCCCCACCAGGAATGAGGCGAAAACTCAAATCCTGAGAGGTGGCATGTGAGACGTTCAATAATTGACGATTGAATGGGAATTTTCTCCAAAACGTGCGTCAACAAAGCACGGGCTTGTAAGTCAAATGTCCATGTGCTTTATTTTTGGAACATGATGCCTGTTTCACTTTGAAAATTTAAAAAAAAAATAAAAATACGACTTTATGTGGGAAGCCAAAACAACAAGGTTGAAATGTGCCGTGCGACGTGTTCGCGTACTCGACAGACGAGTGGGAATTTAGATCCAGGAGTGTATAAAGCAAAGCCAGTGACTTTTTTTTCCGTACGACTTGTAAGACAACAGCGGTTTCATCTGGAAAAGACAACATTATTGTCGCAACATGACCTAAGAATGCCCCTTGTTTCGTGGTGGAAAAAAGACTCATACATGTGACGTGGAGTTCCAGAACTGAACGAGCGAGTGGGAATTTTCAGTCACAAGAAGTAAAGCAAAGCCACCGAGTTGTATTTTTGTTCGTTTACCCCACAAAACACGTAAAAAAGTTCACAAAGTTACCTTGGTCATGTTGGCGGCGGCGTGCGTGCAGTCGGTGCAGAGTAGACGTTCAATAATTGACGATTGAATGGGAATTTTCTCCAAAACGTGCGTCAACAAAGCACGGGCTTGTAAGTCAAATGTCCATGTGCTTTATTTTTGGAACATGATGCCTGTTTCACTTTGAAAATTTAAAAAAAAAATAAAAATACGACTTTATGTGGGAAGCCAAAACAACAAGGTTGAAATGTGCCGTGCGACGTGTTCGCGTACTCGACAGACGAGTGGGAATTTAGATCCAGGAGTGTATAAAGCAAAGCCAGTGACTTTTTTTTCCGTACGACTTGTAAGACAACAGCGGTTTCATCTGGAAAAGACAACATTATTGTCGCAACATGACCTAAGAATGCCCCTTGTTTCGTGGTGGAAAAAAGACTCATACATGTGACGTGGAGTTCCAGAACTGAACGAGCGAGTGGGAATTTTCAGTCACAAGAAGTAAAGCAAAGCCACCGAGTTGTATTTTTGTTCGTTTACCCCACAAAACACGTAAAAAAGTTCACAAAGTTACCTTGGTCATGTTGGCGGCGGCGTGCGTGCAGTCGGTGCAGAGTAGACCCCCCCCCCAAAAAAAATAGAGAACACCCACTAAGTCAGCCTCGTTTCTCCTTCTCGTAATTTTGTGCTCCGCGCGCCGCTTTTTAAAGGACTTCCCACCCCACCACCACAAGGAATTGGTCATATGATGACGTCAAGTCCTGACTGACAAGTTCCCTTCTGTTGATGTTTGTCTTGAAGTTACTGAAAGGGTAGGTCACGTGACCAGCAGTCTACGTGTTTGTATGTGTGTGGGAGGGAACCAGCAAGGGGACACTTCTTTAGGTACACGCCCCCAATAAACAAACAAACAAATAAATATATAAAACATCCATCAAATTAAATCAGTTTCAAATTAAATAAATACGACTTTTTTTTTAATCATCAGGAAGTGCAACAAAACCGTAGACACGCTACACATCCTGCTATCCAAAAATAAAGTGATTGAAGTTCAATCCGAAATTTCCAAAGCATATATTTTGCAATAAATACAAAATGTAATGAGGCATAAATTGTCAATAATCGTTTTTAAACAAGAAAATAAAATCACCTACGTGGCATTGGCTGCCCCTCTATGAACAAAATGTAAAATTAAACTACATTTTGAAATAAGGTCACTTCAACAAAGGAGGGGCTAAAATCATTCTTTCATCCTCATCTGTCCTTGAAGATCAGGTTGATGGGCGTGGCCGGGCACAGCAGAGTCCTGGTGATGGGTTTGACGGGACCGGTGCTGTTCGGGTCAGGCCTCACCTCAAAGCGAGCGATCAGCTTTGGAAATCAGACAACAAAATCTCAGTCAGTGAGTGAGCGAGCGAGTTAATAGAGGAACATATCGCAACTTGGACCCGATCGAATAATTGTTCGCCTCGTCGAAACTCTCTCTTGTGAAGTTAATTACATACAAAATGGCAAATGAATGAAAATAGTCAAATGTTCCATCTGCCTAACCCTGAAGCGAAAATAAACAATATTTTGACAACCTAATTTGAAACCCTAATCCAAATTTTAAAACCCTCATTTGAACTCCTAACCCTAATTCAAAAACCTCAATTTGAAACCCAATTCATAAACTCAAACCCAGGCTAAACATTAACACAGCTTGAAGCCCTCATTTTAAACGCCAATTTATGAACCCGAACCCTCGTTTGAAACCTTGACTTCAAAACATCACGCTTGTTTGAAATCCTAACTTTGAAACCCCGAACATGCTACCTGATCTTAAAACCTCACATTGAGACCCTAACCTTTGTTTGAAACCCTACCGTGGACAGCAGCAGGTACATCTCCAGCTCGGCCACCCGCCGGCCCAGGCAGGCCCGGATCCCGAACCCGAACGGCACCGATCCAAACGGGTGTTGCTGCTGCTTTGTGTTTTCCTGCCGCAGCCATCGCTGAGGTAGGAAACGATTCGGCTCGGGGAAAACGCTGTCGTCGTGGGAAACGGCATAATGGCACAGATGGAACAGAGTCTGCGGACGGGCGAACACAGAGTCTTGCTTTCACACTGTAACGTCAAACTAGGTCCGATCCAGATTTAAACCAATTCCAATCTGGATGTCAGTGAAAATGAAACATCTCAAGTGTCATTGAACATGTAGTCTGTGTAACGTGTCCTGCAATATGGCAGCACATCTGGATGAAATCCGGATCAAACCTTAAGTGTGTTCTTGGTCTGGTCCAGATGTGCAATCGGGATCAAATCTGGACCAAACTGGACATTAGTAACATGTAAAATGTCAATTAACACATTGTGGAAATGTGTCAATGTAACATCACACCAGGTTTGATCATGAAAATTGCAGACATAATATCAGACCAGGTTTGATCCAGATTGCACATCTGGTAACGGTGTAAATGCAACGTGTAAAGTGTGACATAACATGTTCAGACACTTGTGTAGCATTCAAGGACTGTATGTCGTAGGTGAATGATCTTTGTCAACAGAATGCCAAATCAAGTGTGGTCCAGATTTGATCCATATTGCACTTTTGATATGAGTCTCACTGCAACACACCTAAAACGTTCAGACCCTCTCCCATTGAAATGTTTGCGTGTAAGCTTATTCAGTGCGATTCATGCCTTACACTTTTGGGAAAGAGATGATCCCCCACCACGATCTCATTTTCCACAGTGAGGCGAGCGTTTCCCGGTACGACGGGGTAAAGCCTACGCCAACGACACAAAAAGTGGCTGTTAAGAAAACAAAACAAAAAAAAACAAACAAACAGAAAACAGGTATCGGGCACGGCCTTGCCCTGCCCTCACCGTAAGGTCTCCCTAACGACCGCCTTCAGGAAGGGCATCCGAGCGATTCCTTCAGCGGTGGGCATCCCGCGGGAGGCGGGACAAACAGCCGCCACTTCCCGGTGGAGTTGATCTTGGATGCCAGGCTCCTTGGCCAGATGGTATAGAGCCCATGAAATGGTGTTGGATGTCTGAAGTCAAATACAATCTTTATTTCGTACATCTCATCCCCAAAAAGTCATATACTCATTATAAAACATTTTACAGATACATTTAAAACATATTTTGTAAAATCATAGGGTGTTTTATTTTAAAGAAACAAATTACATATAGCTTCCAAAATGTTTTTTAAAGCAGCATGGGATATGGGACCGGGCCAGCCCACGGACAGCAAAAATCTGTGCATAATTAGCGGCTATTTAAATGTCTGTGGAAAAAAACAAAAACTTTTTTTAGGTAAACACTGGTCAAGAGCAAATTATAATCAGCATTTTTTTGCGTCCCGACTCGTATTTTTGACACAGATTTTGAAAAAATGATTTTACTTTTTCCCCCCCAGCACATCAGGATTTTTGAGATATTTTCCTTCTTTTGTTGTTTTAAAGTTTGACTTGTAAAATATTGCGCAAATGGATTTTACCATGCATTGTAATATATAGCTATGACGTTTCAGAAAAAACATTTCCACCTGTTGCTGACCCTTTCATTCCTAAATATTACTGAATATTACATTTTATATTATTACTATTATATCATCATTCTAAAAACTCGATGTGCTAGATTTTAGAAAATGCGGGCAGATTCGGAAACAGCGCCCCCCCGCCCCCAAAAAAAAAGTTTTTAAAAAATGTATAAAAATTTGATGGCCAGTGAAAACTTCCGCAGATGTTTTTTTTTTTTTTTTAAACGTCAGAACCTGACTTAATACTACAAAATACAATAAAACGAGCAGTGATTATTTTGGCATGACTTCAATAAAAACGACCCGAAAAGAAATGTTGGATTTTGAGACCGTGTCAACTCCCGCCAGCAGGAGTTCGGTGACGCTTCCCAGGATCTCGGTGAGGCTCATCCTCTCGCTGAGCAGCAGGTGAGTCAGGTAGGCGCCCTCCACGTCGCCATCCGCCTGCTCCTTCCTCCCCAGCTCCTCCAGCTTCTTCTGCACCAGCTCCTCCGCTGCATCAAAACAAACAAACGTGCACCCAGAAATTGAATGAAATGCCGACAAAGCAAAACATGTAAAAAAAAAACAACAACAACAACAACAAAACATCACAAATATATAGGCACAGTATCTAATTCAGGTCCCGGAAGATTTTTTTTTTTTTTTGGTGGCGTATTTAGTCTAATTTAAATTGATATGAATTCGTTTGTCAAATACATTTTGTTTGACTTTTATTAATAATATTTTGTATTCATTTCGATTTAATTGACATTATTTTGATGACAAGTTGGAATTGGGCAATTTAAATTATACTGGATTTGAAATGGATATGCTAGTTGTGATTCATGTAATGGGAATTTGATATCTAACAGGGCAAAAAATATAAGTAACTGTTCGTACTTTTGAATGCTGACCAGTTATTTTGCGGATAAGCAAAGTTGCCTGCTCACGCACTAGTCTGCACTCTGTGTGGCTGCTCAAAATGCTGATTGCGCCGACCTTCACCACCTCCCAACAAGATAAAATGAGAGCGCAAGACGCGGAGGGGGAGAAGGCTCCTTGACAGATCATGTTTCTTTTTTTTTTTTCCTTTCTCGAATAAATCTAATCATTTTTTTATTATACTTGTTGTCTTGGCTTCCCTGGACAAGACATTCATTTAATCATACCATACTATATTTTAATGTTGTAAAAATTGTACATGCTTTGAAATGTAATTTAGATGAATATAAATCAATTGTAATTGCGCAAGCTTGCCATAGTGAAGTTCAGTGTAGCGGTGATGGACGTGCAAGGGCGGCAATTCTCCAAATGTGGTACGCGGGCGCTCTCTAGTGGTAGAGGAAACAATCACGGCCTTTTTTTTATTTTATTTCACTCCGTTTGCGTTTAATCTTTCAACACGGTTTGTTTTGAAACATTTAAGGTGACATTTACGTGTCATAAATTTTTAATTGAATAATTACTGAAGTAGAGTTTTGTAACTAGCAATATTTCAAACGGTGTTGTGGTATTTAATTTACGGTAAACAAACTGAATGTAGTGGAATTGTAT